CTTCTGCATCCGCCATCTTGCACCGCACCGCGTGGGTCCCGCCCAAGCCGCCAACAGCTAGAAACTGCAGATTCCTACCGTCTGAGGCCCGTCAGGCCGCCGCTAGCCATTTATTTTTTTTATTAAACTAAGAAATCATAAATACTCAAGTTCCTAGATATACATCTTGGTACCATTGGCAAAGCCTGTTATTTTCTTTTTCTTTTAAAATTAAAATCGTATTTATTAATGAATCCTACTTTATCAGTAAACTCCAGGAGTCTGTGTATCCAAGAACTAAAGATCATCTCTCTACTATGACTAAGCAATAGGTTCCTGTTTCTCTAAGTTTGGTTAAAAAAAAAAGACACCTATCAAGAAAAGATGGTCATAACTTCTAAGAAATGTGTAATTATGGAATCAGCCTTTTCTGAACTTAAAGCAGGTGACCATTGAAATCCTGAATATGTATCTATCATATGGTGCACATATTTTAATTTTCCAAACTCTGCAAAGTGTTCACTCACTAAATTTCATTTCTTTGAGTAGCTTTTGGGTTACTTCCTGAAGATAATGGAGTTTGATTATACAAAGAATAAGTAAGACATTTCCTTATGAATTCTTTGGCTTGTTGCCAAGTGATAGAAAAATCTTTCTTCAAGCCTTTGCTGTTAACTTGGTGTTTCTTATGAAATTCTGAAGCTTCTAGCACAATTTATATCAATAGCTGATCAATTTCATTGTACCAGAGGCCCTGGTAGACCTGCATGGGATCTGACATGTGTTATATACAAGGAACGATTTCTATTTCTGATTGTTTATTGTAGTTGAATGAATAGTAAAGTTAATTATGAATCCTCTGGAATAAGTTCAGCAGTTTCAATATGTAAAACAACTCTTTCAGCATATTGAGAGTTAGTAATTGTATTAAGAAGTTCTGAAAAATCAATAATAACATAAGAATAGTATATCATTCAGATTTTTGAACTGAGTCATAAGGACTTTGAAATACTTTACTAATTTTTCCTGACTTATAACCTGCCTTTCTGATTTATTTGCATCCATATAGAATGTAGAAGCTCCAGAAATTGAGCTACCTTTTACTATATGAGGTCAAAATCCAATTAGTTCTTTTTATAAAAGAAACTCTCTTTCTTTTGGGATATTTGTTACTTATCTCTCCCAAAAACAGTACTGCAAGCTCTTTACCAATGTTGATTTTCTGCCCATAGTGAAGAAATTTAAGCATTAGTAAAAAGGTACCACAATTTCTGCTGGTTCCATTCTTGTTAACTGACAAAGTCTCAATTTTCTTTTAAGAATGAATCCAGATTTTTTTTTACATATGTCTACATACATTAACTTTTTTTTACTCTGTTTGTATGATAAAAATATCCATTCTAAGATACTATCCTCTCTTTGCATCAGAATTCCTGTGAGAGAATGATTAGAAGGCAAAATAACTAAAATATAATCATGCTTTGGATCCCAGTGATCCACATGTACATCCTATAATTTCTGTTCTAACAGAGCCAATTTTCTCTCCGTCTCTTCTGAAATTTTCTTGGACTACTAAATCCATATCTCTTTGTATGGTTTAAAATAAATTACTTAATTCTTGAGTTGTTATCCCAATTTTAGGCTATAGCCAGTTACTATCTCCCAGCAATTTTGGAAGTCATTAAGTGTTTGTAATTGATATTTCCTGATTTGTACTTTCTGTGGCTGAGTTTTCTGAAAAGATATTTTATATCCTAAATAATTATTGTAATCTCCTCTTGGCATTTTTTTCAGGACCAATTTGTAATCCACAGCAAGGCAAAATTTTCTTTACTTCTTCAGATATTTTCTCTAAAGTATGTACATTTGAATCACCTAGTAAGATATTGTCCATATAATGGTAAATTATAGATTTAGGAATCTGTACACAAATCATTTCCAGTGGCTGTTATATAAAATATTGACACAGGGTGATGCTGTTTAATACCCCTTGTAGAAGAACCTCCCACTGATATCTCTCAACAGGTGGAGAATTATTATAAGTAAGCACTATGAGGGCAAATTTTTCTCTATCGTTTTCTTGCAAAGTTACAATGAAGAAAGTCTTTTAAATCATTAACTATAATAGGCCATTCTTTAAGTAATAGAGGAGGCCTGGGAATTCCAGACTGTAAAGAGCCCATTGGATCAATCAGTTTTATAGCTCTTATATCTGTTGCCATTCCCAATTTTTCAGATTTCTTTTTAATAACAAATAAAGGAGAATTCTAAGAACTGTTTGATTCATCAATATGCTGAGCATTTAAATACTACTGTACCATCTGTAATTTGTCTGATTTTAAAGGTCATTGTTCCACCCAAACAGGGTTGTCAGTTGGCCATTTTTTAAAGGTAGGGCTGTTGGTACCTGTGAAATACCAACAGCTGTGGTGCCTTGCTTATGTACAGCTTGAATGGTCTGTGATTGTCCTTGATAGTATCTTCTGACATTTCTCTCAGAAGCATTTCTTATTTTATAGTTTGTTTCTGAGATTTTGGGGATGTTAATCTGGGTGTTCCATTGCTGTAACAATTTACATCCCCATAAATTCATTGCTGTATTAGCCACATATGACTTTACTTTTCCTCTCTGTCCTTCTGGCCCTATATATTCAATCCATTTTACACGCTGTTTTTCTTGAGACAAACTTCCACTTCCTGAAAGATGAACATTTATTTCCTGAAGAGGCCAACTGGGATGCCAGGATTTTGCTGCAATTATTGTTACATCTGCACCTGTGCCTACCAACCCCTTAATTTCTATGCCATTTAGTCATATTTTTAACTTTGGTCTTTGATACCTTATAGAAGTTTGCAAAAATATTTGTTTTAAGGTTTCTCCTGAGTATTTTATTTTATCTTGTAAAGCTGTTCTAGCATCCAGACCAGAATGGTTTTTGTTTGTTTGTTTAACAATAGGCCTTAAATCACTTAATTATTTTGTGGAGGATTTTCCTCAATGCTGGCAGGCAATGACTGAACTACATTTGATATTGGGGCCTGCAAGAGGCTCCACAGGGCATTTTTGGTGGCAAAGGGTTATCCTGCCTGTCCATTGTTGATTTACATTCATTATTTCAATGCAGGCCTTTGCCACACATTCTGATTCTGCATACTCCAGAAGGCTGGGGCCATCTGTCTGAATTATTTCTAAAATAAAAAATTGTTTCTAGGAGTACCTTGCCTAAACTGCCTTTTCTGATGACCTTTTATACTTAAAAATAAAACCTAACATTTTGATTTTCTTCATATTTTTAGGAAGCAGTTCTCCTATCCAAGAATCATCATTTTAAGTTTGCTGACCAATATCAACTGTATTTTTGATCCATTTTTCTATGTGTGCTGAACTTACCTTTAAAAACTTAGTCATCATTTTGCATTCTGAATTAACATTTTCAAAGTTCAAAGATTCAATTAATATTTGTTTGCATGGGGATCTGATATCATTTTATTTATAGCTGAGGTCAATCTTTGTAAAAAAAAACAAAACAAAAAAAAAAAAAAACAAGTGATGGCTTCTTTTGGGCCTTGTACAAGTTTAGTAAATGACTCAGTCCTCTTTCCTTGTTCTTTAACCTTGCCCCATGCATTCTAACCCATTATATGACATAGAATCAGGGTGTCATCTTCCAACATTCACTGTCTTTGCAAATCTCAATACTGACCCTCACCAAGAATTTGAATTTGGGAAATCTCATGACTTCTAACCTTACCTACTTGTTCCAGGGCCCTGGCTTCCTCTCATTACCAGGCTCTTCATTGTAATTGAGGACCAACTTCTAATACTGATGAAACTAAATCCTTCCAGTTTTGTGAAATAATTCTCTTCCTACTTGCCTATGAATTTAACATCTGTCTAACAAAGGATGAATGCATACCATATGAAACTACTGCTTCTTTAAATCTCTTTAAGTCTAATATATCTATAGGATTCTAATTAACTTGTACATAGCCTTGGGGATATAAATCACCTGGTGGTTGTTGTTCAACAGTGACTGGATATATTGAAGTTAGTGTTCTAATAACCTTAGGCCATTCCTCTCCAGTTTCACAATGTGTTGGTGTAGTAAATTCTGCTTTAAATTATTCCGTCTGTATCTGAGAATATTTCTTTTTTGCTCTAAATTCTTCTGTTAATATCTGAGTATTTTTCTTATTTTCACCAGCAAGCCTTTCTAAGGCTCATATCTTATCAGTCAGATTCTTATATTTGGCACTCATAGCAACCAACTTTTTTTGGATAAAACAAGACTTACCAAACCAATAATGAGGATAATTGACATTATGTAAATCACAGCTAAGTTAATTATACCCTCATTTAATTTTTCCTTTTTTAAACCATCCTTTGTGAAATCATAAAGAGACCTAATTCCCTCCATCATAATATTGCTTCCCATTTTTAATATGGGAAATTTTTCTTTTCAATATTATTTAATTCTTGTCTACTCTCCTAAAAGATTTCCCAAGTCTCTCAACAAATCTTTCGACTTTTCTGGACAAGTGACAGCCAATTGCTAGTGTGGAGAGGCCTCGATGGCAGATGCAGCTGAGCTGGCTGGTGTGACTCCTTTCCTGTTTTCTTTACCATGCGTCAAGTACCAAATGTTGTTTTTTTCATTATTACTATTTACAGTGGCTGCCCTTTAAGCAAGTGCTTTCCTAATCAGAGACTGCAACTCCACCATTATCAGCAGTGGTGGACTTCTGTTCCCTCAGGCACTGACACTTTCAGCACCCACTAAGAGAAACTTTATCTAGATCTCTATTGTTCTAAGGACCTCATGATTCAAAGGTTGAGGTGGAATTCTGCTCACTCAGAGAGTCTGAATAGCAAGTAGCTAACTTACTTCCTTTGCATCTTCTAAAACAAACAGACAAGCAACCACAAAAACAAAACAAAACAACAAAAACAGGCATCTTTCTGCTTAGCCCCCACTTTAAAACCCTACCTACCCATGGTTCTTCCTATCACTTCCTGTCAGCTATTTGCTGACTCAGCCTCCTGTTCACAGGTTAATTTTATTTAATCAAACAAATATAACACATCTTTGAACCTTTAATACAAGCAGTAGAAAAATATTCAACACACTTTAAAATAATATTCCACAACAGTTTTCCCAGTTCATTATGACTGAATACCTCAGGGCACAAGAGTTAATTAGATCTATGGTCCAACATTATAGGATCTGACAAAACATATATAGTACTTTGTACTTTAACTTCACTGGTAAGGGGATGATAAAAGGATACTCAAAACAATGCATATAAAATCAGAAGTAACTAACGTCTCCTCAATGGAATTCTCTTCAATTCATGGCAGATGAATGTTGAAGGTAGATGAATACTCCCAAGCCATGACCCTGAACCAGTTATTAAGGACAAACTTATAGCCCAGTAGAACAATTATCCTCATGAGATAACAAAATACCATAAGCTGTGAATGACCTCTGTCGTTGACAAGGGCCCTTGCCAAATGAAGACTCTCATTGTCAGAGACAATCGGTGCCATGATAGAATAAATGCCCTGGCCTAGATTTCTACACCTTGATTGATGCCAAGACAGAATAACTATGAACCTTAAGCTTTTGTTTAACTAACTCAGATTTTTGTTACTGCATAACTCACCTCGTCCACCTTGAACATACTAACACAGATTTTACAAGAAGGAAATCCAAAATAAAGTCTGAGTTCAGTACAGAATGTACTGAATGTACAGAATGCACTGAACTTTCTCTCTATACTATAGATTTACTTGCCCATTTGATGCTGATCTTTTCTGCAGAAATAAACTCTAGGAATATGTGTGATTTACTATATTAACCATAGGATTCCTAATGTTTAGGAATATCCCTATTGTATCAAGTGTTTTTCTGTCCCACCAGTCAGCTGTCAAATAAATGATACAGAGACTTATTATTAATTATGAAAGCCCTTGTTTTCAACAAGCTCTTATAACTTAAATTAGCCCATTTCTATTATTCTACCTTCTGTTACCTACTTCCCATCCTGCATATTCTGTTTCTTTTCACATCTCTCTCATGCACCCAGATTCCTCCTCCTACCTTCTCTCTGCCTAGAAGTCACACCGAGACCTCCTGCCTAGTTACTGGCTGTGAAGCTTTTTATCACACCAATCACAGCAATACATTTTGACACAGTGTACTAATATCCCACAATAGCTGATACAGAAAAGGCCTCCAGTATGTATGCTTAAAGGAATTAAAGGAAAATGCATATATTATAATTTTATATCTTTTAAAATATTTAATATATATTTATTTAATATGTATTTATCTGTCAAATCAAATATACGATATGCAATTTTCCAGCATAATAGGTGTAAGGTATGTGTATGTATGTGTGTATATATTTCACTTTTCATATTGCCTTTTTAAGCACTTCATTGCGAAGTTATAGATAATGTCTCCATAATGCTGAATTGAGAAATCCACAGAATCTGGTAGGAGAAGCAGAATCATTGTTTGAGTTCTAAATCCAAAGAAATAATAAAATGTTAAAGGAGGTCACCTTAGGAAAATTCTTTCTTATTTAAAAATTTTAACAAATTTTTGTCCTGCATGAGACTAACTTGAAGTCAATTCTTTATTGGTTAACACATTATTTTCAGATACTACAAGGAAGGGTGAGCCTCTAAGGTTCTAAGGTTCAATTAACACCAGAATGTTTTATGTCATAGGAAATGTCTCAGTGAGTTATGCCTGTTCACATATGCCACACAGACTCTACCATCTATGTGTGTTCTGTCTATCAAATAATCATCTTTTTCTATCATTTATCTGTTTATCTTCTATCAATAATCTGTTATCTATGCATCTCTATATATCTTTTTCTCATGTATCCAATTATCACCTGTTCTTTTATCATTCATCTTTATTCTATCAACAAATGTCTCCTATATTTATCATCTAAATAGCCATATATTTCCTCTATTTTTATACAGTTTATTTAAACTCTCTATAATCAATTTATATTTCATTTGTCTATCTGTCAACTAGCTTTCTTTCTGTTCCTTTTTATTCCTAATGTGTTCTACCATTCTACTGTGAACTTGTGTAGTGTTTACGGAGTACAAATACATTTTATGAGGCCTTAAAACAGATGCATTGATACAATAAATGGATTCTTTTTAACTTATACATCATGTTTTACATGTCAATGTTTATGCTTACATGTGTGGCTGTGTATAACAATTCCAGACATGTTACCGTATATAGCTCTGTGATATTTTTAAGTACTAGATACTGCACAGCTGATTTCTTTTACATTTTTACTCCTCCATTATCTGTCTACTTTCTGCAATTAATAATTTGTACTTTTAAAGCAAAAAGTATAAAAAGTCTTATTAAAACATCTAATGTATCTTCATATAAGACATCATTTCAGCAAGTTTCAGATATTGTTTTTTATTGTAAGTTCCAACTCTGGCTGAATCTGCTTCATGATCATCTTGAATCCATTCAAACATTGAACACTGAGCTTTCTAAATAAGAAATGTTAGTAATTATTTTCTAAAGGAGCAGGAAAAGTTCACACATTCATGTGTCTATATATATACATACGCACCAATATCGTTTCAAAAGGATAAAGGGACCCAGGCAGGCTTCCTCCTGCTGTGAAGGACAAAAACTCAAGATAGTGTATTCTGTCATAAAGTGCATTGCTTTTCCAGTCATTGAAATGTCATTCTGTGGGCAGCCTGCTGCTCTCTGCTTGGAGCCTTGGTGCCAAGACTGCTAATAAAAAAGAATAAAGGTTAATGAAGGCACCAAGTTATTTATTATCTTGAATAAAATAGCATAGGTCTTGTCTGGTAATTTGTTCAAGGCATAAGGTCTTGCCTTATTTTGAAAATTGTTTCATTCTTTATGCAGATTTTTAATTTTAATGGAATGGTCTTCCCATATTTATTAGATATGCAATTATCCTAAAATGAGTAAAAATTTCAAAGAAGTAGACATATGATACCTGATGTATGTGGCAAATAAATCACATCCTTTAGAAAACTCACTTGCAGCACCAGCTGAGGAAGTTGTGCACGTTAAACCTATCTGTTGTCTCACAAGAACAATGGACTGAAAGTCCCAACATTGTACTTTGACATAGAAATATATAGGAAAACTGACCTTTTATGAAGATATATTTATTTTTGGACTTATAATAGGTTTAGGAAGTGTGATTTTATTTAAAGATAGCAAAATGTGCAATAAAATGAGTAATCCTGTCAAATGACAAAGTATAAAATGCCCAAAGTCAATCATATCCCCAAGGCAGAATCTCATTTTAAAATTTTCATGTTTATTGAGCTGTACAGATCTGCAGTTCTTGGCTGATAACAGCAGGGTAAACATACAG